AAAGATAGACATATTGTCGCGGACATTTTCTTTATTATTTAAAGAACAATCACTATTATTATTTTTTTGTTTAGGTCACGATTTTGTGATGAGCGAATGTATTGAACGATAAACTAAAGGAATTTAAATAAAACACCTTTAACTGTTTAAAACTGTTTTCGTTTAAACGCGAAATACATTTCGCGTTTTTAACGGTAAAAAGTTTTTTATGACTAGTACACGCATAAATAAATCCTATGTCAGTTAATTTATTATTAACTTCTACCCAACATTTCTGAAATTTGCGAATATATTTTGCGTATTGAACCGTCAATACTAGGTACTTTATTTAATCACTCATGTAATAAAAGTCAGTCTAAATTACCTACAGTGAAAAAGGGTATATCACGTTTTTCCTTTAAATATGTGTTACTCACCAGGATACTCCGTTTTTAGAAGAAGAAGGAAATTAGGTAAATAATTTTAAGTGGAGTTGGATTTTTTGATATACAACTTATGTAATACTAGTTTACGCCCCGACTTTGCCTGGGAACGTTTTTTGTTATAATCGCGGCGGACAAATAATATTAAGTCTTTATAATGACATCTGACCTTAATTAAAAGATTAAGTAATTAACGGGACGTAGATTCGATTCCCATTCAAGAATTTCCAAACCAAATTAATAATTCTTCAAAATATTTTGGACAATTCAACCTGGCATTGAAATATTTAAATTACGGACTGGTTACGAACTGCCGATCTAAGATGAAAAAGCCAGGAAGTTTAATTACTTCTCAAAAATAGATTGACAGCCCATCTTGTTTAGATCTTATATATCTGGGCTATTCATCTTCCATCAAGAGAATCCCATTCTTGTATATCGTCATCTATTATAAAAAAAATCTATACCACCATCTTTATTATTTTGACGTACAGACAAGCTGTTTGCATTATATTACAGTATACGTTACCTCGAATTTTTCATATATGTATTTTCCCACAAAAACTAAAAGGAAACTATTGTACGCGAATTCATAGAAAAAACAAATAGGAAGTAATTACTGCGCCATTACGTCATTTCGCATATCACACCGCGTCAAGTCGAATTAATTGTTTTACGTCGCGTTAATTAGGTATTTTTTCACCCCTTTCCCTTGTCTGTTTGATGGTAATAGTGGGTTTGACGGGAAGTGATAAGTTGATAATTGACGCTTTGACACCTGTGTTTGTAAGTCACGAAGTTGTACAATTGACTTTGAATTTTTTTTAAAGGCTTACCAACTACACAAACATACATAATCTCTTTCTAATAATTCTTACTAATTATGTATCTAAAAGGTATGCAAGGCTTTAATATTAATTAAAGAAAAAAACATTATGAGCGAAAATAAAAACCACAGATAATGGCACAATTACAAATGTAAAAAAAACGCAAAATAAAATTTGTGGACGGTAAAATTTTTTCTTGAATATATTTGAGTTGACGAAAAACACTATTGTAAAATTTACACATTGCCCGCCCAAAAATTCCAAATCGTTTTAAAAATCTATCTATTAACAACTAATACATATTAATGGAAATGCAATTTGCTAAAATATCAAGATAGTCGTCTCGGTCACGTTCGGTATCAGCCTATGGATTTCCGAAAGTTCGACAAAAGCCAACAGCACATCTTAATTCGATATTACGGGGTAAATATAATATTTAGCCCTATATAATTTGTATTTGCTTGTCTATCCTCTGTTATTAGATGTATATGAAAAAATATTTTCATCCTTTATAAGATTCAATATGTACATAACACAGTCATATTATGATAATAATATAAAAGTGCCCGAGTAAAGTCACAGACCGAAGCTTGTAAATCATTATTTCTCGATCTTTGCCTCAACAAAACAACTGCGTAAATAAAATCTGACACTGCGCATTCAATGTGAACTTGACTCAATTCGAGTTTATAAAAAGGTCGAGACATTTTTTACGGCCGACATTTTTTTAATGTTTTACGTTTTTAACTTTTCCTGACCCACTTAACGGGTCAAGTGTGCCGTTTAAGATGTTTTTACGATTGCGAAATGGTTATTGGTTTGTGATCTATACTAATATTATAAAACTGATAACTTTGAAGAAATAATCTAAGGTAAGACCGGTTCGAATCGAGATATTATTTGTGTTGGCTAGAACAATTCGAGCGAAGAAGCATAGGAGAATGTGGAAGCAACGGAAAAAAAAGCATCCTTGCGTGCGCTCTGAAAACGGTTACAGATACCCAAATAACTTGTATGGAAGAATTTACGACTTGAGCAGAATTACATTGCGCAAGAGGTACATAACGTGTAGGACTCGATAGCTCAATTGGTTAGAGTAACAGTACGGAACGCTGGCGATGCCGGTTCATTTACTGCCCGAGTCGTATTTTTTTTTTCAATTTATAATCGATTTTTAATTTATATAGTGCCACCATTGCACAAACATGTGAAGAATATTATAGTTTTCAAAAGAAATATTTATATAATCAAAAAATGTCCGCCACAGTAATATGTCTATCTTTAAAGATCTCAGCTACAAGAACGGCGTTTATGGTAATCGAATTTCGTTTAAATACTTCATATGCTAAAAAAATTCAGTTCAGCTAGTGTATATTTAGACTTTAAATACAGTGTTAGGTCGAAAAGGATCGCTTCAATTTAATAGCCTTATAAAAATCTTGTTGAAGTGTAGAAAGGGTTCGCGTCGTTTTTCTTAATAGAGCGCTAATGCTTGTTCGGTGAGACAATTTGCGAGAAAAATTATAGCTCCTGCATATTTTATAGCCTGAAGGGGCATTTTTTAGGCGTTTGTTAGGACAATTCAACACTTTGAACGGAGTTCAAACGCTGAACTATATTGCTGTAGCTAAATCCGCAAGGTAGTTCAGTGGTGAAAAGTGTTGCCTTGCATTGCGTTAAGAGCGGTCCTAAGTTCGATTTCCGGGAACAATGACTTGTTTCTGTTGAGCAAGTAACAGGAGACTTTTTGCTTTACCTTGCCTTTGCAGTCGGGCATTCGGGAAATGTCGGGGCATAGTTAAATTGTAATACGTTATATATTTCACGTTTCAAACCGTTAAAAGGGTTTTATTTAAAAACGAGAGAGTTTACTTAAAAATACCGTGTCTTTTGTAAGTCGATTTAATTTGTGGATTACAGTAATTTATAGATTGGTTTTTAAACATTTTAGCTACCATTGTATTATATATTTATACCTAGTCTACATACCTACTATATATTTTTTATGAAATCTTAGATGTTTTCCTTTGACTTGACGTCAAACAATTAAATTAATTAGTTTCAGATTATTCATCGTTTAATTTTAATTAAATCACACATCGTCTAACATAAGACTGACTAAGATTTACTTTGTCTTTTCCTCAATTTAAAATTTCGAAGCCAGAATTCATTGCTATAAATATAGCATAGCTAGAATATCTAGCGAGTACCTAAACCCGTTAATTTTTTACGTCCCTAATTACACAGGGGAGGCACGAGCCGCTGTGATCGCGAAGATTTTTTATAAACGATTGCATTTTTAAATAACAAATGACGAGAAATTTTACATTAATACCTATTTTGACAAAAATTAATTAGATTTTATAATTTTCTAGATTTTGCCTCCCAATGTGGTCTAGTCACAATCAGTACAGATTTGCTTCCAAACCACAGACTACTTATTATAATCATCTAATGTATACAGTTAATATTAATTTAGTTAGACAAACAAATAATTTGTATTATTTGAAAAACAAATTAAATAATTTATGAGATAGCTCATTGGTCTTGTAGTAGCAATGCATGGCTATAATTAACGGGACGTGGGTTCGATCCCCACCGGGTCAAACTTGTTTCAAATTTAAATAAAACACTTTAACGGTTTAAAACGCGATATATTAGTTAAACATTTAAAAATGATTTCTAACTTCGGCCCGACGTTTCGGATGCTTTGCAGTAGCCGTGGTCTCCCCTTGAAGTGTGCACTACTCGCGTAACCTATAGACAGTATTTGTTTCAAATTTATAATTTTTCTAAAACATGTCGGTTTCAGTCTGTGGATTTCCACATATCAAAAGCCAAAATAGGCCGACAGCGCACCTTGCTTAGATACTATAAGCTGAGGTATACCACCTACCATCAAGTTAACACCACGTTTGTCTGTTCTCCTCTATCAATAAAAAATATATATATTGTTAAACTCTACGTCAAGTAGTAGATACTTATGTAACAACAACGCCGCTAACTAATACCGTGTCTCGGCTCTCTTCCGGGCTGTGAACCTTAGACCTCGCATCATACCGTATCAAAAGCATAAATTCTTTACAATTTCTTCGTTGCGTGATCGAAGCGTCTAGTTCCACTTTCTAGCACGCGTGAAAGGGTTACACTGCACGGCAAATGCAAAAGTACAGTCAACACAATAATTTACCCTTTTTTTATTATTGTCAGTAAAAAATATTGTTTATGACTATAAAAAAAACAATTAAGATAAATATGCATAAGATATAAATTAATTTATTTTAATCTATTTTTCATTTACTACTTCGAATATTTTTTTTATTTGCAGTTTTATAAAAAAAATGACCAGGTTTGCGTGTTTTAATTCAGTTATTTATTAAGAATTAAAATAAGAGTAAAATCTTCGAATAAAATAATACGAGCAATACAAACGTATACTTGTAAATAACATAAATAAACTTAATTAAAAGGATAAAAAAATACTATTCCACTAATTAAGATTGACTTATCTTAGAGTTCCAGGGAATAAACAAATACAAATTAGCTATTTGCGACAAATCTGGTTTTCCCTATTATTTACTGAAAAATAAAGTTATTATGACAGGAAACGGATAATTAAATTTATAAACTTCAGTTAAGTTGATTTCACAAATGTTTACGCCAAGTTTTTCCTTTAGTGGGTACAAAAATAATACACCACAGTATTCATGGAATCCTTGTGATTGTAGTACGCGTTTGTTTATTTTTAATTATGTATTGTGATATGTGGGACTTGAACTTGTTCCACAATGCTCTCTTGCCGCAGGTACTGTACAGTTTTATAAGGAAACTAAGACGTATGACTGCTTTTTTAAGTGTCCTTAATACAAAAAAAAATATTTATAATTTTCCAATGTTAAGGTTTATGTTAATAAAAATCTCTTTACAATACAAGAAAAAAGAGGGAGTTGTTGTTGAGTCTAAGGTAGAAAATTAAATAGATAAATACACAAAGATTTTGTACACTAGTAAAAGACGAAAATATTGGCCGAGAAACAGTACAGCATTTCGGTAGATGGCTTCTTTTTTTCCTATCCAAAATACTCTTAAAATAATACTGTTACTGTAGATGGTTTAAAGTCATATACAGTCTGTAGTTTACGCGAGTAGTACACATTTATTTAGAACAAATTAACGGTTTAAAACGGTATATCAGTTGAATTTATTTGAGAATTAAAACCGTTAAAAGGGTTTTATTTAAATGGTTCAAAGTTAAGTTAACATTAAGCTTGATTTTAAACCCAGTGGGGGTTAAATAACTGTGACATGATGGTAGAATTATAAATGTAGTATTATTTTCATGGGATGACAAAATTGCGTGTATAAAAAAGATATCGTAAACGTTTGCGCATGTCTCGCAGTGTACGGATTGCGTGCCGAAAGTCGTTTCTTTGCAATCGCAAGAAACTGGGGGTTTTCAATAAATATAGCTGAGCGTATAGTTACAGCAGATTAGAACGGAATCGTGTATTTTATAATGAATATTTGCATGAATTTTTCAACTTTGATTTTCCCTTCTATCCATGTATAGACGTGAAAAATTGGACAAAATAAAGTAAAGATAATATTAATAAATCGCACAGATTATAACTACATTGTTACGTGAGTTAAGTTTTAGACTTAAAATCACCGTATGTACTAATAGAACAATTTCTAAACGAAACCGAAGGTCTAAAAATCGGTAGCTAGGTACTTTTAAAACTAGTGTGGCGTCAATAAATAAAAACTTCGGATTTTTGTCACAGGTTACATCGTTCTATAGTTTACGCGAATAGTACCTACACATAAAAAAAACACTTTAACGGTTTAAAACGCGATATATTAGTTAAACTTCTTTGAAAATGATTTGACTAATATATCGCGTTTTAAACCGTTAAAGTGTTTTATTTAAATGCGACATATTTTAGTTAAACTTGTTTGAAAATTATGAGGAGACTGTATCCCCACGACCACGGCTGCTGCAAAGCACGCGAAACGTCAGGCCGTAGTTAAAAATTATTTTGAAACACATTTAACTAAAATATATCGCGTTTTAAACCGTTGAATTGTTTTATTTAAAGGTTACATCGTTTTATATGAATCGGCCAAACGCTTTTAACTGCAACCGAAGCCGACTGTAAAAAGTAAAGTGGAGAAATTATTTGACTAAGGTCGAGTGTGAATAACAAAAATAATTATGAAATACACCAATGAATCACTCCCTACAATTTCGTATCGCAACGTAGGCTATTTCTTTACGGCGAAATTATAGGACTACTCGTGAAATGTAACACGTTATGGCGCTTACACATGGCAATCTGATACCATTTTATTCAATCATAATTTGTACATACCTACGTATTATAGGTGAAGCTTATTTAACTATAATAACTTTTATAATGAACGTGTATTCAATATGTATAGCAGACTGGCTGATCCAGCAATCGTGTTAATTTAAAAATTATATTATTAATTAATTATATATGTATTAAAAAAAAATCGACTTTTTTACCGGCATCGTCAGCGTTCTGTGATGATGCCGGTTCAAGTCCTGCCCGAGTCAAAAATTTTTTTTCAATTTATTTTCGATTTTTCAATTACATAGTGCCTTCATGTGCAACATATTAAAAATAATAAAGTTTTCTATCATTGTGTTTTTATTTCTAAGATTAATTTTTAAATATAACACTTTTACGGTTTTAAACGCGATATACATTAGGTACCTACTAGTAAAACTAATATATAAACTACAAAAAAATTTTAAGGTTAATATTATTATGATGGTACAAGTCGAACAAACAATTGGTAGGTAATAATTTTAACCAACTTTAATTACCATGATAAAAGTTCTTGTGAGTTATCAAAAGATGGACATATACTGTCACGGATTTATTTAAAGATAATGTATAGAAGAATATTGTTTTCATATGTATTTTTTGGACCTTTAACGCAACGCGCGCAAAAATGCCCGCAATAGTATTAAAAGTAAAGATTGTAAAAAAAATATGACGCGGGCGAGATTTGAATCCACGAACGCTTCGTGCTCTTGCTGCTCTAATAGAGCCTCAGCGTCCGTCTGTTATAAACATTTTTAACCCGATTTGAACGCAGGACTTTTCCGGACAGACAGAGGCGGTTGAATAGAATCAGTGTAGTTAATAATCAATAATGTTTAAACTATACGGTAATATAATATAAATAATTTGTAATAAGTTCATTATTATCGCGTTTGAAACCGTTAAAAGTGTTTTAATTAAATAAAATATACGGCTTATGTGAACTTAGTGGTATTTTTTAAGCAATGACAAAAAGTCATCATGTCTTCAACTGTAATGTTATTTTTTGTTTCTTTGTAAGTGTGTCCAAGAAATAAATGTATATCGTATAGTCTAATTACAAAATAGAGTAAATTAACAAGACAAAAAGCGTAGCAAAAATGCTTCTTTGTCTCACGTTAAAAGTTTCAAGTTAAATAATTAAGTTTGGAAATTTTCAACTTCACGATAAAATGTTTTGCTAAAGCGTTTTTTTTGTTTATAAGGACAAAAGTTGAGAGTTTTTAAGTTAATTAATTCGGAGTGCTAGGTGAAATGGGACGGATATGAAATTAACATACACAAGTTTCGCACCAAACTTTGATCATTCTCTTCTACAGCTAACGAAAAAACAAAGAAATTCGTTAGAGCAACAGCAGGGAACGCTGTGGATGCCGGTGGTAGACCTGCCCGTGTCGGAATTTTTTTTCAATGTTTAATTGATTTTTAATGCATATACTGCAATCATGTGAAAAATATTAAAGTTTTCAAAAGATAATAATCACATAAAAGTTTATCTATCAAAAATTAATTTAATTCATTACAATAAATAATAAAAATTATAATATGAAGTAACGTCAGAGCTCATCATTCTTAAACAAGTTTCATTTATTTTAAAAATTATGTGCTTACCGCACATAAACTATTTACTCAAAAATAATTTGCGATTTTTACCTTATTAATCATATTTATGCCACTCGTTGCGAGATTACAATATTTAGCCATCCTAATTTGATATTTGTTTAAAGAGTATGAAACCGTTTATTTCCGTTAAATGTCAAATTTATCCCCAATTATGGCTTAGTCTTTTCTTTACATGTGCACCGATTTTCAGATCTTCATGCACAAGAACGCGATGCAAATGCATGCGAGGGAGCTGCAGCGAGGGTTAGGGGGTGAAGTGAAGCCCCACCAGTGCCAGCAGTGCCTAAAGTCGTTCAGCTCCAACCACCAGCTGGTCCAGCACATCAGGGTTCATACTGGCGAGAAACCGTACAAATGTTCCTACTGCGACAGAAGATTTAAGCAGCTGAGTCACGTACAACAACATACTAGATTACATACAGGTTAGTGCTTTCAGAAAATATAATTTTATCACATGGGGTTTAGGGCAGACACAGATATGTGTCTATTAGGTACACTATTTTTTACACGATAAAAAATCGTTTTATTAATCTTTATTCGGTTCTTACTTTCATTTATTTAGCAAAAAGGAAACAATTACATGACACGAATAGTATATATATATACATCCCTAACAATTTTACAAACAGTTATTTTCCTAGGAATCAAACGCAGGACAATGGCACCTAATTGTTGAAAAAAAAATTACTATAAACCTTTGTTCTGGTCTTGTGTTTAAATATGACTTACTACTGCAAGTCGAATGATGTAGTAAAGATAATTAATTCTTGAATGATAAAAAAAATAGGTAAATCTGGTTGTAAATCTCTGACTATTATTCTTGATCAAAAGATCGTTATTTGATCATTAGTTGCGTATATGCATATAATAAATAATGATATATATATTTTAAAGCTTCAACATATCTTTTGTACAAATGTATATAAAAAGTTTTTCTCTAAAGTGATATCAGCTTTTTTTTTAATAAAAACTTTAAACGTCTCAAAAGGGTTCGGAAACTTCGAAAATTAGTGAAATATTTTCTTCACTTGGACACTCTTTGTCTTGACTTTTAGGGGTCTGTAGGTGTTGTATTTTTTGTTCTTTATTTAATACGAAAGTAGATCTAAGATATCATCATCTAGGCATATAAATGATTATATCTAATACATTTCTACACTTCATAAGCATATACGAGTAAAAGAAAAGTTCCCAAGTTTGAATACTGTCTATAGCTTACGCGAGTAGTACACATTTAAATAAACACTTTAACGGTCTAAAACGCGGTATATATTAGTTAAACTTATTTTAACGGCCTGCCGTTTCGGATGCTTTGCGGCAGCCAGCAAATATTTCATAATTTTAAAATAAGTCTAACTAATATACATGTTGTTTTAAACCGTTGAATTGTTTTATTTAAATTAGTAAGTTTGTATGACGTTCATACGGAACTAACAGTTCCTACAATATATCACGCTTAACTCATCTTTTGAGAGGAGTTTAATATCGAGTTCTGAAGCTACGGAGCGGAAGATCTCGGCGAAACTTGCCACCTGTCGTTTTTATCTTGACCGTTTATAAATCTCCATTTTAATTGTTTAACTTTGTAGCGAAAAGAATGAGTTTTATTACTTACCAACCTATCTTCATATAAGCAGGATTGAAGCGGTCTGACACTGTCAGGATTCGAACTCATCCTGTTGCTCAAACCACATAATCGAAAAACCAATATCTAACAGACTATTTATATATTTCGCGTATTAAACCGTTTAAAAGGTTTTAATCTCAGAGCCAAGAAAGTTTTAATCTCTTTTTATTCGTTTGATATTGTTGCACTTGCTACATTTATTTCAATCTATATTATCATCTACAATCTAGTAAAGCCTATTTGATATTCCGTTAATACTTCGGCCCCTATTTCACAGTTGATTTTCGTGTCCGGGCTCAAATATTAAAGTTTGGGTTACATTTTAAAATCTATAATTTCAAAGAATGTGTCTTCAAAGTACAAATTAACGTGTAGGGAGTTTTTCAAGGAGAATAGAAGTCCCACCCAACAATTTTCTTTTCATTAAAGGGTGGATTCGTAATTATCGACAATTTCATATGCTATTAATGTACGCTTATATTCTTATTATACTTTATTGTTTGATAAATGTACGGAAATGTGTCGCTGTCTCATTACGTTGTAATTTTAGGGCGACACTAATTTCGTTTTCTTGATATGAATATACAATATTTAGATTTATTAGGCCCATGATTTGAATATAGATTATTACTATAACAAAAAATTCTTCAAGAAAAAGGTTTTAATAGAATAACGGCTTTTAAAAATCCATCGTCCACAGATTAGTATTTCGGTCTGTGGATTTCTCAATATTCAATGCCTCCGACATGCGTGTCCTCCTCTTAAAAAAAACTGTTAACTTCTGTTAAAATATATACAAGTTTTCAATTATCTATATAATACAATGTAATCAGTGGCAGGCATGTGTTCCCAGGTTTTAAATTTAGAACTTTAATCAAGCATAAAATTAACATTAGACTGAGCTATGCAGACGATCTAAAGACTAATAATTATCGATCAATGATTCGATATTACGACTCACGAAACGTCAAAAAGTCAACACCTCCTGTCACTGTCATGTGGACATCGAAGTGGCAATCATGACAATTAAAAAATATATACACAACCCGCCAATCAGCGTGCGTTTATAAATATTTAATTACTGACAGCTTTGGCCTCGACAAAAAACGTGGGAAAAGTGAACGTGTTTCTGCAATTGATTTAAAACCAGAATTATTATAGGTACCAGAAATTCATTTACCTCTTAACGGTTTGAAACGAAATGTATTAGTTTAATTATTTACAATTTATTTTAACTGCAGCGTTTAAATATGCGCTAATATAATGCGCGTTTTATATCGTTAAAGTGTTTTATTTATGTGCTTAAACTAAAGACGTTACATTATTATATTATATCATTTTTAATGCACAGATAATACTAATTGCTTATTTAAGAGCTTATTAAAACAACATTTAAAAAAAGAAACGATTATTTTCCATACGAAGATTTATTTACGTATGTTTAAAAATGGACTTGCTTATTTTCAATGCATAGATAAAACATAAAATCCAAGGTGCATAGAATATAATTTGCACACAAATACAATTTAATCTATGTAATGGATGTTGTACAAGAACATTTGTTTAAATTTGCGCAATGAACTAACAAAATAGCTGACCTTTGCGTAAAAACAATCTTAAGGCGAATTTAGCATCGTTAATTTATACCGAGTCGTGTGAAAAAAGTGAGAAATAGAATTGTTATGCACATACTAATGACGGACCCGCCCATTCGCTAGGCGAGAGGTGGAAAAACACGTAAACGAATTTTTTTCTGTAACACGTATTCTACGTTCGAATCGAGCGCGGCGATTGGTCGGCGGGCTCTCGTCAGCCGGCCATTGGTCAATTTTTTTTCCCGCTTTTCACGTACACGGCGCGCCGCTTTTTTTCGTGGAAACTTCGTCCAATGGTACGCGCGTAGTTTTAATTATAAAAGTTGCCCTGCCATATGGAACTATAAATTGTCTATGAATGCGAGATCGGTTGTAAAAACGTGACGCAACTATTGCTTATTTCATTAACATTAAGTTGTTTATTGCAAATGTAGTTTTATGTGTGCTTGATAATATCGTTTAGCGGCGCTTTTACGATTTTATATGTCATGGATTTTACAATACGGATAGAATTACTATCTATATCTTGAGAAATTACTCCTTACATATTGTTAATAACAATATTCCAATTTAATGTTGATTTAGCAATGGGCTAAGCGTGCGAGGTGTTAGGTTGGATTCCTGAGAATACACAATAATAATTTAGATAGACCAGAGCTCAGGTGTCTGATCAACTACTTGTCCGTAAGTTAGTTCAATCAGTTCAACGGACCCAGGAAAGGGAGAAGTTCGTCACATTTAAACTCTTCACTTATATAACTTGTTAAATCAGTTCTGTGGTACCGTGTGTAAATTAATTAACGTTACTGTAGATAAGAATCGATTACTTTTACAATTAATGTTTTATCTATGGATAACCAGTGCAATATTGTGCGATAATCTGCATTTATTTTCGAGCGGGAAATAACTCGATGCGATCTGTTTTATAATGGGCGGTCAGTTTAAATTTGGAATTCCGAAGACGTATCCCGTATGCCGCGATGTATGCGTTCATGTTTTATTAATTCTAGTTTATTTTAGAATGCATTTGTAATTTCGGTTTGTGGATTTGAACGCAGCTTTAAAACAAAGAAAGTACATACACAGATAATACAATCTGCTACTTTGGCGTTTGACGTTGAAGGAATGAAAATTTTGTGTTTAGGAAAAAGGCGTATTCACTTCATAATAGATATGAAGATATGATTTATTTTTTTAAAATCAATTATGAATTGAGGCAGCTAGAGACAGAGTGGCCTAATAGCAAACATAACTTTGAATAAGGAGGAATACAAAAATGCGCAATTTGCTTAGGCGTAAATGAATCTGTGTAAGAATTATGTTGACAATTTATCGGTCACTATGCTCTTGTAAATTAAATTTTTTAGGCTTTTAAAAAAAAAAATAACTAAAGTAAAAATTGCAGTTAGGCTACTCTGCCTCTAGCTGCCTCGATCGCGCTCGGCAGTAAGTCACAACTTTAAACAGTATTTTGATATACCTGTACAATTTGTATAGAACCTTTTTCATATTACCTAACGAACTATCGAACACAACACTTAGTTTAATTTACATAACACAAATGACTATAACAGCGGATCGCATTATTAACACTAGGTAATGCCACACCTCATTATATATAATGTAAACTATAAAATGTATATATTATCAAAATGGTTCGTCCGGCAGTCATCGCGTCGCTGATTCTATCGATTTTACCTCCTCCCCCAGCGTTATGTATCCCAAACTACGGGGGTGTGGGTATGCCACTATGCACTATAGTTTCGCATTTAAGAGCTTAACGTCGAAAAACATTTACGTTCAATTTATTATAATTACAGATACTTTAACTCATTAACTGCGTGATTCTTCACTCTATATGTGCCTATAGTCTGTTGAGGGTAGTTATTAGCAGAGAAAGAGAAGATAGATGAAAATTATTAGCATCACACATGTTTTCACACACATTTTATCAGCTCAAACTGTCTCAATCTTCTTATTGTTAGTACATTAAATTAACTGCGAATCGCGAGGCCCAAGTTTCGAATTACGATCGAAATATTAGTTTGGTATTCCTTTTTTCTAGTCCTAGTTCGGAGATTAAAAGTAGATTGCGGTATCAGAGTCTTCTAAATTTTAAGGCATCGGTTTTTAATATCAATGATTAAATAATATATCTACGGATCGACCTACTAGAAAGATTCTATATAAACTTTTGAAAAGAAA